AGGAATAAAATTTAGTTTTAATAATGTCCCCAATATCTTAAATAGTGTAATAAAAATTAAATTTATATTTTTCTCTTTTAAGCATTTATTTTAGTTCATTTTTTTTAAGTGGTGTTAAGTAAATAAATAAGAAATATTTTTAGGGCAAAGATGTAATTTTTTTTAATAATATAAGCTTATTTGAGGCAGTAAATAAATTTACTAGATTAAAGCAATATAGAATTAACATGACTAGGAAGAACACTTGCTCAAGGATAAAATTGCCTGACCAACCTGACATATGTTGCCCCATGGTATCAAGCCTCTCAAAAAATCTTTTATGTTTTGTATTAAGAATATTTACATTAGTATGGAGAGAGAGTTTATCGTCTTAGTATTATGTATACCATGTACAACCCATGTGACATACTCGTCAAAGGAAAAAAAGAGAGAGAGAGAGAACTCAAAAGGCTCAAGAACTCGGCCGAGTTCAATCCGTATGACCTGTGAAATCCATCCAACCTAGCCAATCAATTACTTATTATACATGAAAATGTGCATTGATGTTCCTAAGTAGATCTGACGACCCAGAGCAGGAGAGTACGGCTAGGAAAGACTCACCAACAGAAGAACATGAGGTCCATTTATCCAATCAAGTGCAGCCGTTCGAGGCAAAGCCAACAAGGCCAACGCCGATTGAACCATGTGGAGGGCGAAAAGATGATTGAACGATCAAGTCTAAACTATTCAATCAGAAATAAGATAACTAGTTATCTGAGCAAGCCACCACTAAGAAGATGACTCGAGGGAAGACCTAGCCCCTCAGCATCTTTAATCGTACTAAGGATGTTCATAAGCTCTCCTCAAGGGTCAATATCCAGACTAGATCAGCTGACAGAGTTAGTTCTGCCGATCTGAAGCCAATCAAGCTTGGCCAAGCAACAACACTGACCAAGCCTAGCTGATCGAACTGGTCCTGCCTCGCCAAAGCTAGGCAAACTTAGCTGGGCGAGCTAGATAGGAGTCGAGTGACAGGCTCATACTTCTAAAATATCATGAATATCTTGTACAATTCTCTTTAAAGCAAGGGAGAAAATGTAACATCATCATATTGCACTGTCTCCCCCAATAAATAGAGAGATTGTTTTATAAATAAAAAAAGTTTTGCATGATTGATATGAAATATTATTGTTCATAACTGTTCACTCTTCTCTTTCTCTCTCCTTATGCTATATTCCTTCGGATATGATTCGCAGACAAATCAATATTAAACACATATGAAGAAACTACTCAACCTATACTCCGAGGAGACCTAAAGACTCATCTACAGTTGCTTAGTGATCTGAGTTTAAGTGGTAAATCAAGAAGCTTGCCTATATTGTTTATATTATCTTGAATTTATTACATGCACAACACATATTGTAGCATTTCTTATATCACTTAGGACCTCATGTTTATACTTATAAATAAGAGATTTCGAGAAGAGCACAACGTTCAAGTTCTGACTTACTTGAGTCTTGTGTTATGTATCACGCTCATTTGATCCAGCATATTAGATTTTTCTCCTTGTGTTTCCTTTTTTCTCTCACACCTCACATTTGGTCCTACCAATGAAAGAGCTCGACATCACATATGCCAGGAAAATCTATAAAAAGTTAAAAATTTTTGCCAACTAATGATAGAGCAATAACCCCATTTGAGTCTAAACTAGTCATGATAGAATAACAACTCGTTACCATACAATGAGTTTTTCACTTAATCCTTCTTCGTCATCCTTAGAAGAACTTAGGGGTCGAAGACATATTTGAGATGGGCCAACCAGATGTCATCATTAGACATCTTCCACTTACTCGGAACAGTAGCCTTGATAAATAGCATATGATCAATGTGAGAAGAGGTAGAGATGATGAAAATGACATACATAAAACTTGTTGGGGAGTGATGAACAGAGCAAAATAATCACCGTAAAAACTTTTTTTATATGATAAGGGATTGAAAGCATCAAAAGGATAAAAAAATAAAAAAATAAGAAGTTAGGTACATAAAATTGGAATTAATAAAGTAATCAAATCATCACATGCAAAAATGTTACGACCAAGTTTTTTATTTAAATAAGGGATAATTCTTTTTTTATATGATAAGGGATTGAAAGCATCAAAAAGATAAAAAAAAATAAAAAATAAGAAGTTAGGTACATAGAATTGGAATTAATAAAGTAATCAAATCATCACATACAAAAATGTCACGACCAAATTTTTTTTTTAAATAAGGGATAATATTCATCACAGATGATTCAACTCTAATAAAGACAAGCAAATATAATGAATCAAGAAAATTATAAAAAATCTAGCCTAGATCTAAAACAATCTTTGTTGGGTTTCAACCTAATCGTATAAGCTGTTGTTGCTACGACCAAGTTTTTTATTTAAATAAGGGATAATTTTCATCACAGATGATTCAACTCTAATAAAGACAAGCAAATATAATGAATCAAGAAAATTATAAAAAATCTAGCCTAGATCTAAAACAATCTTTGCTGGGTTTCAACCTAATCGTATAAGTTGTTGTGGGAATCTTCCTCAACCTTGAACTAACTCATGCAACTAGACTTAGTCTGACCTTGAAGCACCAAGTACTTATCCCTCAAGTCCCCCGGCTCACAAAGCAAATCATCGGCATGCCTCTTTAATTCGACGATATCTGTCGTATGGATGCTTTATTTGCTTATCAACATCACAGTAGAAGAGACTTCAAGATATATCAGAGATAGGATTTCTACCTCTCGAGAGAGAGGGGGAGGTGTCACTACCATTTAAACCCCTTGACATTCTTTCTTCGCCTCCTCTATAGTTGATTGCCTCTCTTGAGGAGACTGTTGGCCACTTCTTCATCTTTGCAATCATTTATCTCAAGGAAGTATTTAAGGCCATGTTCATATTTAACCAACAAACATTCTTTGTGTGACGTTCATTTCATTATAAGTAAAATGCACATCAAGCGAAGAAAAAGAGTAAAAATAATACACATTTCTCCTAATTTTCTTAAAACAAGAAGAGTTTTACATACCAATCAATCTGCACTAACATTGGAAATTAAAATTGTATGTAGCTTATCCAGCTTGCCTTCATGCCTAGGGGTGGATGGCCACTCAAGTGTTTCATAGTTAGACTGCGGGAGAGAGTCCTTCATTGAGCCATCTTTCAGTGAGTTGATCTCTAAGGCAGTCACCCCCATGGAAGTCGTCCTTGATATGTCTATCACTGGGTGGAAGTCAAATTCTCTTTCTGCACTTCACTATCATTTTGTGTCCATTCGTATCACTCACTCGTTTCTACTTGTTGAACAAACTTGACAACAACTCTTCTTTTATAATGTAAGTATTATATTCATTGAGATTCTTCATGGCATTATGCTCGTGTGCAAACAACATAATCCAAAAGTGGGGAGGAGTTGAAGCACGGGATGTCTCATTGCCTTTTTTTTATAAGAGACAGTCCAGTATCTAAGGGAGTATTAATTCTCTCATTATAATCACAACATGATTTTCTAAGAGATGAAAGAATTAATGAACTAAATATATACAACCAAAAGCAACTAATACACATTAATAAGAATAAGAATATATTTAAATGAGTCTCATTCTTGATCTAGACAAGTTAAAAGATCGAGTCGTGTCTCATTCTTGATCTAGACAAGTTAAAAGATCGAGCCCTGCACAAGAAAAATAGAAGTTGCCCAACCTCGCGAACTTGGACATATGTTGGTTGAGCTTGAGCAACTCATTAAGAGTACATGGAGTATGAATCAAGATAGTGGTTCCCAAAAACAAGTGAATAGGGGCTCACAGTAACCTTTGAGTGGCTATCCATTAATCGCACAATCATTTGACTTAGGGAAAAAATCCCTAGGGAAGATTCAAACATAAATGATGATGTAACTAGACATACAATTAGATATCTCTAGAGGTCTAAGTATAATAATAGCTTATGTTTCTTTTGCAAAAAGGAATTACCCAAATAAAAGGAGAAAATTAAATGCAAACGGATGTTGATCCCCATTTGGTTGAATCCTACTTTTTTTAATGATAATAGAACTCTATCACATCCTAATAGCTTTAGTGCACGATAATATTTAATAGCTGAAAGTGTTATATAGTTTGATTGAGATTGATGTCTCACAAACACACACACAGACAATAAAAAAAGGCCCAACAATGAGATGGGGCCCACATTTTTTTATCAATATAACATCAACAATAATTTTGAAAAATAAAAGTTCAAGAGCAACTTATGTTTGTGCTATAGAATCTTCTTGCACAAATAGAATTGATACTCATAATAGGATTTGATGCACATAGTGACCTTTTGTAATCTTAAAGTTTTAATTGCTATAGTTTAAAAAAAAAAATGCAAGCCATTGTAGTGAACTAAGTGCAGATTAAATAGCTGAGAAGTTTATATTATCTTTCTTATAAAGTGCGATTAAATTAAATTTTATTTATTATTTATTTATATAAAACTAAGTCAATAGAATATAAGCCATGCATGTTTATTCATTCAACAAAGTTTTTATTTTCATGAAAGATGTAATGAAGATTTCAAACATTGGAGAAGAGTTTTCCAATTGGTTTCATTTCATGAAGGGGAGGAGGAAGAAGTAGTCTACACGCTTGAAACAAGGCTATTTCTGATGGTGACAAAGCAACCAAGGAAATTTGTCGTTTCTATCACAATATATTAATTTTGTGGAGATTTGCTTACACCCAAAACCCTACTAATTACATATTTAATACCTAAACACAACTATTTACTTACATATCACTAAAAATAAAAATAAAAAACATAATACCAAAACTAATCTTTTCTGTCATTTTTCATATCACCCTTCACATGTCTTTGTTCTATTTAATACCTAAACACAACTATTTACTTACATATCACAAAAAAAAAAAAATATAATATCAAAACTAATCTTTCCTGTCATCCTTCATATCACCCTTCACATGTCTTTGTTCTAGTCGTCCTCCTTTACACGCTGTTGTCATGATCCCGCAAACACCTTCTCTAATTTGCTTCTATCATGTCTCTCCTTTACATACCATCACTCTTGCCAACCTTTGTGACAACGAGCTCTTGCGATGAGATCCTGACGAGATATTATCACACGTCCTTCCCTAACATGCTACACAAACTCTCCTTCTCCTTCACATGTCACAACCAAAAAATTGTTGTGTATATATTAAACAAGTTATTTGGGTTGAGCTCGCAAAAATCAGGTTGAATGCAGGTCTAGTTTGCGTTGAATTTTCTGACCCATTTAATATTCACGTTGGATAGAGGTAAAAAATATTGGGTTGGTTCAATTTTAGGTCAACCCCGAGGTTGACCGTGAACACAATCTGACACCATAATTCATTTTTTATTGAATTAAAACTTGGATAATAAACATTTTAAAATTTCTTCGACTCTCAAAGACTTGTAATTTAAGAAGTTGTTGACCTCATTTTTTATGGTCTACATCTCTTTTCAACCAATCCTTAGACCCGAAGATGTCCTTAGGAGCGACATAGTGGCTACCTTATAGGACAAAATGATCATTGGACCCTAATATGTGTAAAATGTCATGTGGAATTATAGTGTTTAAAATATTTTTTTCTCATTTTTATATTTTCTTAATGGGTATATGTTGTGTATTTGTATAGTATACAAGGAAAAAGGTAGCACTTTCAAGAAATGAAGCTAAGGACCAGCACCCCAGTGCTTCAAACAAGTGCCCTGGCGCCAGGAAACAAGCACCGTAGCACCATATATAAGGCGCTCAACACCTAAAGCAGAGAAATTCCACCAAAATTATTGAAAGCACGACACCACGACACTAGAGGCCAAGTGCCCCAACACCAGTGACAAGCACCGCCGCACCTACAGAAGCAGTGTCGTCGTGCCTAAAGACCTAGATTGATGAATTAGAGTCACGAAACACAATGTCGTCTCGCCATGGTGCCACCATGTCAGCGCTTCGACGCTACCCACAGACTTAGGGTAGTTTATGTGCTTTGCTGACGGTTCGGCCAAATGGATTAATAAAACCAAACGAAATTACAATCAATCTCTCCCTCGAACGCTCTTGGAAAGTAGGAGAATGCTTTGGATTATTGGAAACAATAGTTAGTGGAGAAGTGCTTAGGTGCTTGGAGAGTTTGCGAGAGTGAGAATAAATCAAAGGGAAAGGGAAGAATTGGCTTGGAACGAGATATTTTAGATAAACAAATTACATCCAAGTATAAAGGAATTTGCTAATTATGTAAATTGCTTCTTTTGTCAAAATACAATACTTTTTGGAGAACTTTTAACTTCGGTGTTTTGGCCTTGAAAGGCCGACTCAATTAAAACAGATATTGTTGAATGAATCACACATATCATGAAGCCTCTCCTTGCACAACAACCACCAATCAGAGGAGATTTTCTTCGTATATTAGCCATCAATGCTTAAACCTTTATCGAGTTAAAGAGACATGCACTAATTGGATTCAAGAATAGGAATAATAATCGTTTAAGCTCAAGGAATGACTTCAAATTAAAAGAAAAAAACTCCTACAATTTTCTAAGCACCTAAAAATAGGAAAAGTACTCTTTCAACCATTGAAGTGGACACTTGATAATTGCTCCTAAAAATCTTGAGAGGAACTCTTATTAGAAGTTGACTCTTAAACTTCGAGAAATCAAGACGCTTAAAAATCATTTCCTTGAGCTTTCAACTTTCAACGAAAGATTTACTCGGGTTGAAATTTGACTTTTAGAGTATCAAAAAACTTTGAAAGCTCAGAAATCAGCTGATAGGACTAAGCGGTATATATCTTAGAAATTTCTGAAATTCTGAATTCAGTTGCATGACATGAAAGAAACACATGATACGACATTAGCAGAGATTACAATGATCGATGAGCTACTACAAAGTTGTTTGAGGCTACAATATCTCCTAGATTGACTTCAAATTAGACGTGGCAGAAGGATGTGCATAAAATTGCATTTCAAACTCATGAGAGCCACTACGGCTTGCTGATTAATGAAAAATATTGCCAGACGATTGCATTTCAAACTCATGAGAGCCACTACGGCTTGCATGAAAAATATTGCCAGACGAGGATTCCACATGGGAGTCAAACGTCTTGATCCATGTGTCTTTTTGGGAGGGGATTATTATTACACCTAAGTCTAAAAGAAAGCTTAGTAAGTATAAATAAGGCTAATATGTTTAGGTTTAAGGGTATGCATAAGACTGTGGGCTTGAGTCTTAGGTTTAGGGTTTGAAAGAGATCGTCTACCTCTCGAATTGTAGGTGTTAGAAGAAATTGCTTTCCTCTCAAAATACATGTGTTTATCTTTATGTATTCAGCAGTATTGTTTGATTTGATATCAATAAAAACTATTATTTTTGTCCTAATCTCTGTGGAATACATCTTAGTTTGTATCAGGTATATATAACTTTTGAGTAAAAAAAAGAAAAGAAAACCAACACAAATAACAAAACACGGTAAAAAGACAACTTATTTTAAAAAGGTCAATCATATAGCAAACCATTTATCCCAATAAATTCAATGAAGCTAACGATGGCTAATAAAAAGCCTAAATAGAGAAAAATCTAATACCAAATGACAACACGTTGCCTTTGTAGAAATCAGTAAAAAAACTAGATTAGCCTCTATACTAATTAACGCAAATACATCCGTACAACTTCCACAAGTTTATCACATTTTGCATTCATAAGCAATGCGATACAACTTCCTCTTTGCTAATGCATGCTCAATTAAATTTATTTCCAATTCAACATGTTTCTTCCCTATTTCTGAAGTATGTTATAAATTATAACATCAAAAGTAACAAAACCTTGAGGAGTCAATTCCCTTCGATCTGAAATGAATCTTACACTAAATCCTTGGAGCTGCAAAAAAAAAAGTGCATGAAGGATATACATGTCATCCATCAATAAGCCCACAAAGGTTTTTTAAAGAGAATACGGCCAAAAAAAAAGATAGATTTGCCAGTTTTTTTAAAAAAAAGTTCTTACAATATAAAAAGACATGCAATATATATATATATATAAGAAATGCTTGCTCACCTCCGCCAATAGTTGCTTCTGGCAGGCGTTCAATAGAGTATTTGTGTTGAGTAATGTACATGATGGGAACGCCGGGAATCTAACAAAGTAAATGCATGTTTTTATTGCATAATTCAGGTCATTAAGAGTTTATAAATTTTTTATATACCTTGCGTATTCTTCGCTTCAAATCTCTATCGCATGTAGCAACAATATAGCATTTATGCTATAGAAAAAATAAACCAGAAAATTAGTCCAAGTAAATAAGGTTTGAAGAAATCAAATAATTAAAGCAATAAAAAAAGGAGCGATAAAGAATGGTAAATTAGCATGAATAACCAAACAGCATTCTTCCACATGCCTAAAGTGAAGCAGAGGGTAGCCAAATCATAATCCCTAATCATATATCTATAATAAAATTATCAAATGCGTTCTGCTACCAATTATCAAGGAAACAAAATGATGATATTTTAGATCAGCAATAAATTTAAGGAGGATCTTTAGATTAGTAGTAATTTTCTACGAGTGATTCTGGATTGTCCTTTAGAGATGAATATTATTTGCCAAATACCATAGAAAATGTGCAACAAGATGAATTGTGGCAGAACATCAATAATAAAAAAAACAAGTAGGACAACTACATTTATGAATTTCATTATCATAAGAACAATGCCATTGTTGCAAGCATTTCTGGTTGGAACCAATTAGTATAGAAAAGAGCAGCAGAAGTGTAACAAAAACTACCTGAGTTACTCTCTCGACTATGCAGTCGTCAGCATATGTCCCTTTGTGTGTGCATGGAAGCCTCTCAAAACGAGGATCTTTGGCAATCCTGTTAGAACAATAAAAAAAATGTCCACAATCAGTTATAATCTGTGTTTTTGGCAGTATTGCTTTATGCAAATCCCTAAAAGGCATCAAAAGCCAAAATAAAACTAAATACCTTAAAGCCACACGATATTTCTGTCCCAGCTTTTCAAGTTCAGCCATAACACAATCAGTGATACAAGGGGTGCCTTAATAATTAAGCCAACAGAAAAAGTTAAAAAGAGAGGACAACAAATCAGAAACCATATTAGTACAGAGCAATAAAAGATGCATAAGCTTTTTATCTTTGCAAACGAAATTAATCTTCCAACCTACATTTAGCATAGAGGCAGTCCATCATTCCCTTCTCCAAATCCAACTGCAACATTGTAAAAGAGTTAGTTCAGTCAAACAATGAAGCATCAACTAACACAGCAAGAAAATAGACATACATTTCAACATTTATTTTCTAACATGAAGCATCAAATAGTATATAATGATCTCGGAAGTACAAATAGAGCTAATAGCTTTAGCAATAATGTTTTGGATGAATAACAACATATCTTATACATAGTACCCAAAATATTTAGTTTATTTTTGCAATCCTTCAATAGAAGCTTCAACAATTTCTTGTATAAACATTTCTCACTCATCTATGCATGTTTCACTCTTACACTCCCATTCAATAATATCAAAAAACAATATTATAATCTTTACTTGATCTATTTTTCATCAATTATGATCATGTTATCTTCAATATCAATACATATAACTTGATCATGGTCTCTTGATCTATCTTGTTTGTCATTAGCTATGTTATATATCTAATTTTCTCCTCAAATAGTACATAGTCTATACACAAAAGAAGAAGAGTAATAACTATAACTTAACTAACAACCCTGTTTACAAACATCTAGCTTCATAATAATAATTGTATGTCTCGACATTAACTAACAACCCTGTTTACAAACTATCTAGCTTCATTATAAGAATTGTACGTCTAAACATATTAATACAAGTCATTCTTCAAAAAGCATGTATAGCTTGTTTATAGCATGTGGATGCATTACAATCTTTGCTTAAAATGTTTTATTTTTCTTTCTAAATAAAAAATAATCAATTATAACTTCATAGCTCAAAGGATTCTCATTTCTTAAAATTGTAGTTTAGGATCGCAAGGTCATGTTATTGTGAAATCAAGTAAAGCTCCTCTCATCAAATGTTTATCTTCTCTACCATATATAAATTCCACCATAATTATATTCTCTTAATTCAACTATATCTCACAAAAACAAAATTTCAATTCTTCTTTTCAACTTGAGTAGCATAAACACCATCTAAATCTACCATATTCAAGCAATATTAGCATAATAGCAATAATCATATCATTAGCCTTATTCACCCAAAAAGTTGTAAAACTATAGCATAGCTTGTAAGGACATTGAAAACCTGATACCCGCATCAAGCTTCCCGTCGAAGTTTAATGTGAATTAGAGGTGCCGTACACACAAACAATATGCATATATGCATATATAAATAGCATATACATACATCTTTAAGTAAATAAATTATTATATATACAACTAATCCATATAATCATATATACATAGAAGTGCATTTCTAAGTGCATGCATATATGCATAAATAACTAAAAGGCAATCGGTTATATATACTTCTGAGTTTGATGGATGTTGTATGGCTATCTAGACACATGGCTGACAACATTTAAGAAATTTATAGGGGTTGGCTTGCAAGGCCAACCCTATACATACATTATATATATATATATATATATATATAGACACACGCACACATAAATAAATAAATATGTGCATGCAGACATGCATACGAACATAAAAATATAAAAGCTAAAGCAAACATGAAGAAAAAGGAAATAATTAATCAGAATAGGTACAGGAGTGTCGTAAGATGTCTTCTTTTGATTACCATTCTTTTCATTTCAACCTAAAATTTAATTTTGTGTTTAGGCCGACAAAGATATCAGCTTGCAATACAAACTTCCCACCAGAAAGACAAGCTCTAGCCACAAAGACTGATACAGGTTTTGACATGAAGAGAGATGAAGCCTTCTAAGTACAATACAAACAAACAAATGTACACATATGTCCAGACATACATGTCCACGCATACAAATGTTGCCATGTCCTTGAGTTCATCATCCAACTAAAATATCAGTGTCCATTTGATGTTCATTTCTATACAAAAAGAAAACCTGGCCCTTCCATTTGGGTCCATTTTGCAATAATTTCAGAACTTTAATCATCAACAATGCATAAAATCACATTAAACATAACAAATAAAATCATTTTCCCAAGAATGCAAACTCATACAATATGCAATACAAGAAAAAAGAAGAATAAAACTATGTTTATAATATTTAATTAATTAATTGTTATGTAATAAATTTCAAACAACGTTTTTTTTTCATTCTCTCATTCACTGCACTGGGCTATTCAGAGAAATAAAATTACTAAATCATTATGTTAGTTTGACAAGAAGGCAAACTAAAAATTGTTAATTTTTATAATAAATTTAAAAAATGTTGGTTTGGGTCATTATTAAATATTAAAGTATAAAAATTAATATAATATTTTAAATATTTGAAATTAAATCAATAATTAAACTAGCATCTTAGTTTAATTCTAAAAAAAATTAAAACAAAGTTTTGAGATTAGTTTAGCCTTCTAATTATTAGAAGAATGAAGTTCTTCTCAAGTCAATTTTTTGTACTAATTAATCATAAAATGAATTAATAAAAAGAGAACAACATGTTATAAAGATTTATTGGAAAGCTTCATTTGAAATTTACCTTTCAGTTTATATTAGGCTTCCAAGATGGAAGACATTATCTTTTATTTACCGTCAGATACAAAAAAAATTGGTTTCGAAATGGTTCAAACCTTTTAATAAATAAGAAAGAGAGCATTATTATCAATTTGATTCTTCATAATTAGAGTAGTGCATGTTTTGCATAGAATATACTGGATATTAAATGTATCGGATAAATGTGACCAAACAATCTTTGAACGTTAACCGTTTAAATAAGAAAATTCTTCCCTTCCAGTTAAAATGTAAGAAAAATTTTTTAAATGTTGGGACTTCCTTTTGAAATGAAACAATCCCATCGTTTGTGGATTTGAAAATTTACAAAGAATGTTTAAAATTGGGCAATTAAAATTTGAGGCATTTTTTAGTTTGTGAGGAAAGGCATAAGTCTCGAGACAGGCATAAAGTCACAATTTGAAAATTGCAAAGTTAAAATAAATGGGGAAAAATAATATATTAGCAACATAACTTATAGATATGTTAAATAAAGATATTAATATCCTAACACAGGAAAATGTTAAAAAATAAAATTATACAAGATAATATATTGCATAAAATAGCAAAATACCATATACAACTTATATAAAGCAAATATATAATGTCGACATCACCCGATCAAACTAAATAAAACATAAAATATCAAAGCATGATATAAGATGAGTTTAGCATAATAGATTTCGCTCACTCCTATTATACAACATAATAGCATTTATATATCTAAATAAGAACATGATAAATAATAAAAAGCCCTTGACACTCTCACCGCTTAAGATTTCTTCGCTGGAGTCATCATGATATTGATGCTTATTTAATGACTCTCACCGCTTAAGATTTCTTCGCTGGAGTCATCTGGAGTCATCATGATATTGATGCTTATTTAATGAAGTCTAAGATCTGCAATTCTTCTTCCTTTTCTTCAATCTTGATCATCATTTAATTCCACATTCAACAATAAAAGATACAACAACAACAAGAACAAAGCCTTAATCACACTACGTGAGCTCGGCTACATGAATCCTTTTTCTCCATTGCATCCTATTTAGTGTCATATTTTTAATTAGTTCTAATAAATTAAGATCATTTTTTATACAATAAGCCCAAGCCTTCCTAGGTCTAACTCTACCTTTCATAACATAAGTCGAATCTAAAACATCTACTCTCCTAATCGGATCATCAGATGGTGGACGCTTAAAATGACCAAACCATCTAAGACGATTTTCTCTAATTCTTTACATCACAGGAGCTACACCAACCCTATCACATATATATTTATTTCACATTTTGTCTCTAAGTCTAAGTGTAAAGCCAAACCTAATCATTCTTATCTCGGCAACACTTAACTTAGTATTATGCATCTCTTTTAAAGGCCAACATTCAGCGTCATAGAGCATTGCAGGTCTCACCATCATCTTATAAAATTTTCCTTTCAGCCTAAGCGGTACTTTTCTATCACACAAAAGGCCCGAAGCATTCCTCCATTTCAACCAACCAACTTGAATTCTACTATTCACATCCCCATCTATATCACCATCATTTTGGACAACATACCCGGGATATCTAAATCATTCACACCTTTTAATAATTTGATCACCTAAAGTTACACTTCTGTCACTAGGGCTACTACTACTAAAATTACATTCCATGCATTCAGTTTTAGTTATACTCAAAAGAAAGCCTTTAGACTCCAATGTAGAACTCCATAATTCAAGTTTTTCCTAGGTTTTTTCTCTCGTCTTATCCACGAGAAGGATATCATCAGCAAAAAGCATACACCAAGGTTCATCCTCTTGTAAATGTCCAATAAGACCATTCATAATTAAAGCAAAAAGATATGGGCTTAAATCCAATCCCTGATGTAATCCAAGAGAAATAGGAAAATATTTGGTCAATCCTTCTTAATTTTGAACACAAGTAACAACTCTAGCATACATATCTTTAATGACTTGAATATATTAATGACTTGAATATACGAATATACGGCATATCAACACCTTTTTTCTCAAGAACTCTCCAAATGATATCTCTTGGAACCTTATCAAAAGCTTTTTCTAAGTTAATAAAAATCAAATGTAAATTCTCCTTATCATGTCTAAACTTCTCCATCAAACCTCTCAATAAATGTATAGCTTCCATAGCAGACCTGCACGGCATAAATCCAAATTGATTATGAGATATCTTTGAAATAAGACTTAGCCTATGTTCAATTACCCTCTTACATAATTTTAAAGTATGACACATCAACTTAATTCCTCTATAATTTGCACACTCTTAGGCATCCCCTTTATTCTTAAAAATGGGGACCAAAATGCTCTTCCTCCACTCCTCAGGCATCTTTTTAGTTTTTAAAATAATATTAAAGAGTTTAGTAAGCCAAGAAACTCTCAAATCTCCTAAATATTTTCATAATTCAATTGGGATATCATCAGGTCCTACAGACTTTCCACCTCAGACTTTCCACCTTTGGTTTTTTTTTAAAGCCTCCTCAACTTCTTTTTACTAATGCGACGGTAAAAACGAAACATTTTTTTATTA